CACAGGCTGTTGAGAATGTCACGCAGTGCCCTGCCACATGGCAGACAGCCCTCCTCTCAGAAGCTCATGAGTCATAAATCATATCCTCTAGGGCAAAACCAAAATTTATCAATCCCTTCAAAACTTGATTTATTGGGACCAGCAGTTGGCGTAATGGCTATGTTGCTGAACTCCCATGTAGCTGACCACGGTTCGAGTCCCGAACCTGGTGGCTTAAACTCACACCGGACGAGTGTGTGTACATGCCCAAGATCCTGAGAGGAGAATGGAGGAGAAGGGATTGCGGCATGGCCATCCCCCCCGGGGGGGTGTGATTTCTCGCTTTCTGTCTCTCTGTCTCTCTCTGTCTGTCTAGCGAGCACATGTGCCCTCTAGCAAAAACTGCTCCAAAAAAAAAAAAATGGTTTATTGGGACCAGCAGTTGGCATAATGGCTATGTCTCTGGAGTCCCATGTAGTCTACTACAGTTCCAGTCCCGGATCCAGTGGCTTAAACTCACACCCAGCATGTGTATATGTGTGCCCAAGATCCCGAGAGGAGAATGGAGGAGAAGGGATTGCGGCATGGCCATCCCCCCCGGGAGGTGATTTCTCGCTTTCTGTCTCTCTATCTCTCTCTGTCTTTCTGGCGAGTTCATGCGCCCTATAGCAAAAACCTCTCCAAAAAAAAAGGTTTATTATTGCATGAACTCAGATCAGATCACACTCCTACACACCTGTATAATGCAAGCCAGGCTAGGTTGCCAAGAACATGACTATTCCTTCAACAAATACTAAGTACCTACTATTTCCCAGGCACTGAGTCAGCACTAGAATTATCAGTGCACAAGAATATCTAGGACCCTGTCCTCTTGGAACTTACATGCTTGTGGGAAGAGACAATAAACAAAAGAACATGTAATTGTAGCTTATAAAAATGCTGTAAGTAAACAGAGCTCTCTAATAAAGAAAACTTGGATGTTTATTAAAGGATAGCATAGTTTAAGCTGGGGGATGAGCAAGAGCTCTCTGAGGTAGGGATGTTTAAGGAATACCTGAAGGATAAGAGGGAAGCACATGAAAAGCAGTGTTAAGGGAAAGAAGTACAAAGGTCTGAGCAGGAAAGTGCTTGATTTTCTAGCCAATGTGATGACCAAGAGGTGAAGTGCCATGAAGATGAACTGGAGGGGTAAGCAAAGGCCAGGTCTTCAGGGATGTCTACACATAGTAAAAAAATTTACCTCAATGGAAAGACCACTGAAAGGTTTTAAACTGGAAGGGACTCTTTTGAGAAGACCACTTTAGCTCTAGAATATATAACAGATTCCAATAAGGGAGAGAAGTACCAAGAATGGAGGTGGGAGCACAGTTAGAGTTGTGGCTGTTGTCCAGGTGAAAGGTGACAGTGGCTCGTTCTGTGGACTTGGCAGTGAAAACAGAGAAGTTGGGTTCCAGATATATCGTGGGTGTAGAACACAGGAATCTCCGTAAAATGACAGCATTGTAAAAGATCTAGGCCAGCCATGCCTAACCTTGGTAACCAGCTAACAGAATCATCTACAGACCTACGAAAAAAGACTGCCGAGCCCATCCCTAAGAGTGAGGAGTCAGTAGCCTGAGGTAGAGCCAGGAGTCTGTGCTTCCCAAGAGCCCTTGAGAAATTCCGATACACAGCAGGGCTTGGAAAAACCATTAGTTAGTGCCGTTATTCCACGTCGGCTCTATTCACACACCCCAAATGGCCTGAGCTGACTCCTCACATGGTCCAGTCAGCAGGTGTTAAGCGTGTAGACTACTCTCAAGACAGGAACACCACATTAGAAAGCAGAATGGGTGTCCCAGATTCTGTCCTACTGAGAAGCAAATTCAAGCCCCCGTAGCCAATCTAACCTGACACAGCAGGAGTGCTTGGGGGAAATGAGACAGCTATAAAATCGACTTCTCTTAACTAACCTGGTTTTGGATACTGAATTTCATTAGGGAAGTTTTGGGGAAAAAATGTGTGCTTTGGGGGGGCAGCAGGTGGTGTGATGCTAAGGTGCTGGACTCTCACATGGCCAACCGGGTTTCCAGTCCCAGACCCGGTGGCTGGCTTTCTGTCTTTCTCTCTGGTGAGCACACATGTTCTGTAGCAAATTTTAAAAAAATAATAATGACAGGACACCACAGACCCGTGATCTGGAGCAGCTCAGAGCGAGGAACTCCTCAACTTTGCAATAAAAAATGGCCTCCAATAAAACTACATTGCAAAAAAATGGGTAAGAAACAGAATGGAAAGAATAAAAAAGTTGAAGAGACACAACCTAAAGAATTTGTGGTGAAAAAAGTCCTGGACCAAGGCATACTGAAGGGGAAGGTGGAATATTCTCTGAAGTGGAAGGCATTTACAGAAGCGGAAAATACTCGGGAACCAGAAGAAAATTTAGATTGTCCAGAATTAATTGAGGCATTTCTTAATTCTCAAAAAGCTGGTAAAGAAAATGATGATGCTATCATCAGTGAAGCTGATGATAGCAAATCAAAGAAGATAAGCCACAGACACCAGTGGAGAGTTTGTTTCCCATAAAATGCAAAGAATCAGATGAGGCAAGCTTGGTGCTGTCAAAAAAGGCAAATATGAAGTGTCCTCAAGTTGTAATCACTTTTTATGAAGAGAGACTAACTTGGTATTCGTTTTTTGGGGTTTTTTTGGGGTTTTTTTTTGGAGAGGTTTTTGTTATAGAGCGTGTGTGCTCACCAAAAAGGCAGAGAGAGACAGAAAGTGAGAAATCACACCACCCCCCCCATGAGGAATGGCCATGCCGCAATCCCTTCTCCTCCATTCTCCTCTCAGGATCTTGGGCACGCATGCACATGCACCTGGCGTGAGTTTAAGCCACTGGGTCCAGGACTTGAACCGTGGTCGACTGCATGGGAGTTCAATGACATAGCCATTACACTAACTGTGGTTCCTAACTTTGCGTTCTCGTCCAGAAGATGAAGCTCAATAATTGCTTGCATTGTTATGTGTATATGTATGTGTGTGTGTGTGTGTGTGTGTGTGTGTGTATAAAATGTGGCTCTTGGATTTTAACTGACTAGTGTAGAGAAATAAATACATTCTAATGGAAAAATCAAGTTTGATATGTTTGTTTTGAAAGTAGTATTGGAGTTGGGGAAGGGGGTTTGCATCCCAATAACACTGGTTACTTTGAACAAATAAAACAAAAGCTTTCTGTAGTTGCTTCCTTGTCAGAAAAGAACATTTGATACCCTGGTATTTTATTTCCTCTGCATTTGGGAGCAGGTTTTCTAAATATTGGAGAAATTTTTCATTATTACTCAGTCAGAACTTGTGTTTAACTCATATGCCTCAGTACCAGTCTGGGTTTTTGATTTTTTTGTCTTTGTGTGTGTATACACAAGATAATATATAAATGGCTTTCTGTTGTTGAAACTGCCACCAAAACAAAAACTGTGGATAAGCTCATGTTTCTGAAATACCATCATTCTGAGCAACCTCAGAATAAGAAATCAGTTGCTTCAAATTAAATGGAAAGTTTTTCTGAAGTCATAACCTTTCAAATTAAATAATGATTTTGTAATTGGGCAGTCTAAATTGGATAACTTTAAAGCAATCATCTCAGAATCTATATCTATCTATAGTCATACAAGTGCAATAGTTTATTTGCAGAATTCCTAAAAGGAGAAATTTTAATATTACCAACTAGCTCCCCTCCCAGATGACAGAATTAGACAAATTAGCTAAGAAGGACTTACTTAAGTGTACTTTAAATCCTTTAGTGAACTTTCCCTTTATAAAAAGTTGAACTCTTTATGTTCTATTGACTAAAAGGTCATTATTTATGAGATGTCTACAATTTGGCTCATGGAAACCTAGTCAGATGGTTAAAGATGTTGGCAGTTTAGGACTTGCTGGCATAAATGGGTGAACAAATCTGTGATCTAAACTGTTGTGTATGTTTCTTTTCTTTACCCCAACTCATCCCTTACGGGTAGGCCTCAGTCTTCTCAGTATTTAGGTGACTGATTCAGCAGAAGCAAGGAAAACCAGTAACTCCTAGTTATCAGAATGTTACCAACTGAATATTGTTTACTTTATTGTAAATACTGGCAATCAGTGGTCAATAAGTAGTTTCATATTCCTTTAAAAAATAATGATAATAGTGATCAATAAAATTAAATAGATAATTCTTTTTAAAAATGTTTTAAAGCATGTGTTTTTTTTTTTT